TTGCACTCGTCCGCGGCGTGCGCCATGGTACCTCCATCCGAGCCATGTCTGCCGCCTGGTGACCATAGGCCGCCCTGTGTGACTGTGACGTGTGTCTGGACATCTGTCTGTGTCGGCCGCCGTGGTTCTGTGTCGGTCCTCGGCCGTAGCGTGTGCCGTGTCTACAGCCTGATAACCACCATAATGGGACCTGTGTGACTGTTACTTGTGTATGTGTCGGCCGCCGTGGTTCTGTGTCGGTCCTCGGCCGTAGCGTGTGCCGTGTCTACAGCCTGATAACCACCATAATGGGGCCTGTGTGACTGTTACATGTGTGTGTCGGCCGCCGTTGTTCTGTGTCGGTCCTCGGCCGTAGCGTGTGCCGTGTCTACAGCCTGATAACCACCATAGTGGGCCTGTGTGACTGTCATGTGTATGTATCGGCCGCCGAGGTTCTGCTTCAGTCCTCGGCCGTAGCGTGTGCCATGTCTACAGCCTGATAACCACCATAGTTGGGCCTGTGTGACTGTCACGTGTGTGTGTCGGCCGCCGTGGTTCTGTGTCGGTACTCGGCCGTAGCGTGTGCCATGTCTACAGCCTGATAACCACCATAGTTGGGCCTGTGTGACTGTCACATGTGTATGTATCGGCCGCCGTGGTTCTGCGTCGGCCCGCGGCCGCATCGTGCGCGCCCGGCGAGTCGCCTCCGAGTGCGTGACACGAGCTCCTGTCGGCCGCAGCCAGTGGCGGGGCGAGGTGGCGCCCGGGCTGCCCGACTGGTCCCAGCAGGACCGCAAGCGGCTGGAGCACGAGCTCAGCGACGTGCTCTCTACCTGGTGCGGCTGTCGCACGTGTGCGGCGTAGACCTGCCGGCCGCCGCCAGCCGCAAGATGGCGCACAACGCCCGCAAGTACCCGGCCCGACCGCGTGCGCGGCGACAGCCGCAAGTACGACGAGTACCACGAGTTCCGGCAGCGCGAGGACGCCCGACGGCGAGGAGAGCAGCTAGCGGCCGGCGCGCCGCAGTGGGTGTGGGGTGGCCACAGCTCGGACGCCGGCCTCGCTGGTGGCTGAGAGCGATCCTGCTGGAGCCGGGGATCGGACCCGCCCGCATCCCGCTGTGAGAACGGAACGCTTGCTATCCAGCTGAGAAAGAGAAGAGAGAATCTTGTTCATCAATACATCGGATGCGGTTGCTCTAGGTCGCATGCATTCCTTCAGGCTAGAATGATAGTCATCTGACATTGGAGGATTAGCGCTGGAAAGGAACCTCGTTTTGCAGACGTATCTGTACTTTTGATTATAGCAGGCTTTTTCTCAGGAAAGTGCTGATCCTCTTTTGTGAATGGAGACAGGAGTGCCGCGTTGTCTTCCGATTATCTTGACATGAGGCTGATTACCCACGGTTACCGGATCTAGCCATGCTCATGATGTTGGACATTCCACCTGGTATTGCCACCTATTATTGTGTTCCGGTGTTGCTCTGCGGCATCCATTTCCCGGGAGATTGTTTGTCACGCACCTGCGCACCGGTTCTCGTTCCGAGTCCCGTCCTATGGGGATCGCCTCATGGCCCCGACGCACGCACTCGGTGACGGCTGGTGTGTTCGGACTTCCGGCGTCCGACGTTCCCTCACTGACCTCTTCGCGATGACCTACACACGGTTGGGGATTTTCACCGTTTTATTAGTTTTTAGTGGATTTGTTTTGTTGACAAGTAACAATAAACAGTGTTGCGGCACATCGTTGGACCCTCAGACCATCCTCGACACGCTGTGGCGGCGTACAGGGGGCGCCGCCGGGCGGGCGGACGGGGGCCGACTGTGACTGGCGAGCGACGTGGAGCGCGCCGCCGCAGGCCACCACCGAACGCGCCGGGAACGGGCTGGCAGCAGGAGCTCGCATGTCGACACGATCTGAGAGGCTCCCTGAACGGGCCGGTGATGCTTGGCGGTGAGACGGACGGCGCAAAGGTTGAGGACTAGCCTC